ATTTATACTTTTTAGTATTAGTATTTTATACTTTAGTTTAGTTTTTCTTTGATTAATAGTGGCTTCATTTATTAATCGTTATAAATCTTTTGATTTATTTTTATTCTTTTCTTTATATTTTTATCCCTTTTTCAAATTACTTTTGTAATTTAGATCTTTAAACATACAATATCTATAGATATTGGTACAGGTCTTAGAAATCTTTGCTAATATTTATAATTTATTCTCTTTACTTAAGTTTAATTGCCCTCTCCCAACTAGGGATGGGATCCAAACCTTATATGGAAAATTGACACTTACGGCAGTTTGGGATATGATTTAACATTTTTGGCAAAATCCCAATATGCCGACAAATTCCAAACTGCCTGTTAAATTCCAACATTTAGTTAAATATCAAATTAAGTGTAAAATTCCAAATGCCTGGCTAAATCCCAAAGCGTTAGCAAAAAAATTGTTGCATGATTTTATTAAATTAAGAATTCTAACACTTTTCTAATGAAATGCAATTTCATTTCTAGAAAATATTTTCTATAATTTTGCTCTCTGATCAGAGAATGAAATTTGGAATTGGGAAGTGAAACTATATTATATGAATTAGACATATAGATGGGTGATTAGATCAGAGAAAATTTAACCAAACTGAATATATGGAATAAAAATCTAACAGGGAAACATGGGAGAACAATTAACTAAACTATTATTCATTAACGTATATTACAATATAAATGGTTGTGACATTTACAAATACCTTAAATAGCATGCATTCACATATTCTGATTTGGATGACATCACAAGGAATCTTTTAGCACATGATTTTTAAATCAGGTAATTCGTCTGATTGAACAACAGGTATATACTTTTAGAATTAGCCAGCACATGATTTTTGCCATAGGACATCGATTAAGGATAGGAATCGATTCTTAATCCAGAATTGATTATAAAATTGATTAATAAAATCGATTAATCATTTTAAATAGATTCGATTAATTGATCGATTTTCAAGTAGATCTGTTCTATCACTATGTATTTAATCGATTTCGTTCATGAAATTAGACATTCAGGTAGAACTGATACGGTGGGAATTGTCAATATTTGCGTGCAATTTGTAAAAGAATTGGATAGGAATCAATTTTTAACCCAAAATTGATTCTCGAGCACAAAGTATATACGACAATGATGACAGTAATAATGACGATGACAGTGATATCATAACTGATCTTTGGTTTGTTTTTCATTGCATGTTGATTTTTTTCCCTTTTCGTTGGAATAGTTGAAGTTGTATTTTGATTAGTTGAAGTTATAATTTAATTAGTTAAAATTATGCTTTGATTAGTTGAATTCGTAGAGATACTACGTAGTATAGAAGCAATTGAAGTATTGTCATTAGACTGAGATTTCGATCAATATCAGTTACTTTTGGCATTAGTATCACTATTAAAGTTATTAAACTTTATATTGGCATGGTAATTATCAATCTTAATATTTTTGTTAAAGATAGAGTACGTGTGCTATATTATTTGTATGTTTTTCACACGTGAAAATCATGATTTCCAATCACGAACACAATTTATGTATTATCATTATCGTTATTAATCGATTTTGTAAAATCAATTCTTAAATTTTCAAATATTAATTGATTTTAAGAATCAATTTCGATTCTACTATTACCATCAGTGAACAAACTTCTCCAATTACAGTTTTTCAGGATAAATAGCAGAAGACGATTCATGAATATCACTAACGCTGGATGAATGTATCTACAACATTGTTAATTTCCAAAGTCAGTAGATCTTTCGGTTAATAACAAAAAATCGACTGATTGACTGTAACCAAAGTCAATTAATCAATTTCTGGTATAATATTCTATATTTAATAATATCTAACGCACTAAAAATCGACCAAAGTCAAATTTTTAACTTAGATTTTTAGTTCAATAATAATGAAAATTATAAATTTAATAACTGTGCGTTCTTCATTAATTACTATCTATATACATGTATATTAACTTCCTTTTTTAGTAGATTGTACTAAAAATCAACTGAGCCAATTTTTTTCAAATCAACCAACTAGTGTCACGGGTTGATCGTGATTAGGCGTAATCGATGATTTTACCTATAACAATGAGTTGGGGGAGTAATTAGACTGAGTAGTATCTGGTCGTTTCTAATTCCCGTGCTAATATCTACAGATATCGTTCAGTATGACAATAGAGAGGTGAGGTTGGATGGGTCAGTTTTTAGGTGAGATGGTTTTGGATTTATGTTTTATATGACGATTTATTAACAATGTTCTTTCTATTAACTTCCAATTGTTGCTTTTTCTAGCTAAAAGCCTTAAACTATTTAATCACAAAGCGCTTTTTCAATCAATCAATCAATATGCCGTTTAACAATATCAATGCCTTTTCTGAACTAAAGGACCTAACCACAATCAATTACAACAATTTTACAAGTCTAATTTACTTGGAGAAGAATTGTACGCAATTTTTAATTCTGTTCTTTATTAACATCCGCGAGAACTATATATACATTTTTTTGGTTACATTATTTCGAAACTCAATGCATAATGCATTCTATTGTTTAAGAGAGAATTTAAAATAGAAAAAGAAATAGAAAATAAAAGCGAAATCGAAAGCGAATTTAAGATAGAAAACAAAAGTGAAATAAAAATAGAAAATAAAAGCGAATCTAGAATAGAAAATAAAAGTGAATTTAAGATAGAAAACAAAAGCGAAATAAAAATAGAATTTCAAAAGCGAATTTAAACTAACGAATCAGGCTAGACGGTTTTTACCAAAATCGAAAGATTGGCAAAATTATTATTAACCCGGTAACACTAGGCTGAAAAATCGATTTTGACCAATTTTTTGATTATCAGCCAGAATCACGATTGTCAACAATGTTGCTATTTTTCTAATTCAGTAGATTTTTCAGCAAATTCTCATCCTGAGTAACAATAATATGGTTGGTAGATATTATGTATAGGATAACAATTGCAATGATTGTTAATAATACAGTTGACTTTACAGCATAACAATAACAACTGCTAATTCCCATCGTTGTGCTGACAAAAATAACAAGCTTCCTTTTTCAGTAAATAGTACGAATCCTCATCAGTCTCCACGCCTTTTTACGTCGATTTGCAGCATTTATCATCATTTTTCAGTGTCCTCCTCAGTATTTATCATCACCTTATGGTATCTTTTAGCATCTTCTTATCATCTTTCAGCATTTTCTCATCATTTTTAGCGTCTTCAGCATATTTCCATCAGTTTTCGATTCGTCTTACATCAATAGATGTTAATGTTATTCATTATAGATTTTTTTATTAATAGCCAAAGTAATATTAAAAGTAACAAACGTGATAACACAAAAAAAATGTATAAAAAAACAGCCTTCGAACTGCTAAAAAGATAGAATTAAATTCTTCAAGAGAATAAAATTTGTGTACAATTCTTCTCCAAGCAAAATTAAACTTGAATTCTTGCGTACAATTATTCCTCCAAGTAAATTATTGCTTGTAAAACTCTTCCTCTTCCCTCATTAATTGTTATATTATTTGATGATTAAGTTCTTTGTACCAGAAAAGATATTGTTTTCGTAAAATGATTATACTATTATTAAGAAATCACCTGAAACACATAATCTCTCCTCCAAATCAATATAATCAATGATATCTATAGATATTAATCTATCAATCACTCCCAAAGTCTTTTTGCGGCATAAATATTCCAATTCGCTAAAAACAAATATAACCGTATATTATTACAAAACTTGTTTATGTGTCATTCATATGTGGTTTTACTTTGTTATATACCATTTTATTTGTCTATATACTGTTTCATTTATCTATATGCCATTTCATTTGTCTATATTCTATTTTATTTGTCTATATACCATTTCACTTGTCTATATGTCATTTCACTTTATTGATATGCTGTCTCATTTGTTTACATGTTGTCTCATTTGTTTATATGTCATTACACTTTTCTTATATGCAGTTTCACTTTATTTATATGCCATCTCACCCCTTTTAAATTTTTTATTAGCATAAAAAACCAAACTGTCAGCACATGATATTAAAATCTATAAAACGTTTATAAAAAGAAGGTCAGATTTTTTGTAATAACAACTTATGAAATCCAGAAACTCACCAGCAGATAGGTTTGTAATTTGTTCATTTAACTATATTTCATAAGAATTTATTAATAAGCTTTCGTATAGTTTTGAAATCGTAAAAGAAAGTAATGCCACAAGTTCTACTGGCAATATATCGAACCAATCAGCGCTAGTTAAAGGAAAGACACCTATGAAAAAAAAAGATTATAAACAAAGGAGGTTGGTCAAGATCAATTGTTTGAAAACACTTTATCAAGGATCTACCTGATCAGTTTGATCATTACGGAGCCATTTGCTAATACTGTAACCAACATTGATCTAGAGGAAAACTGACTATTATGGAAAGTCATCTCGCATTACATTGTAAAAAAGTGCCAGACGATGTCAACAATTTATTCTTACAATTAATTGCAGAAAAAGCTGAAAAGTTAGTGGATAAAGATAATATAGATGATAATATTCTCTTAACAATCAACAAAAAGCGTAAATATATCAGTAAACAAGTAACTCTTGATAGCTCCTTCAAATCTACAGAACCTGTTAATGAAGATCGTAAAAAAACTATTGATTATGCTTTAATTAAGATCTTTATTTGTTGTGGAATTCCATGGAAAATTATTGATAACCCTTTTTTTATCAATCTTTTAAGAATTTTGGAGTAGTGTTCCTATGAACTGAACCGAACTGGACTTTTGCTCAAGTTCGAGTTCGGTTCGAAATTCGAACTGAACTCGAACCAGACTTTGGCTTGAGTTCAAGAAAGATTCGAAGTTCGAACCGAACTCGAACTGAACTGTTATACGAGTTTGAGTCTGGTTCGAGTTCGATTAAAGATCAGCATATAGTATCATATACCGATTTGTAGCTCTAAA